TCGGGGTGGGCCTCAGGCAGGCAGGGGGATGGGCAGTGAAATTTGGATTTTGTAGACAACGCAAGGGAAAAGAACAGCAAATTTTAACACTGCTGTAAGCAGTTAAGATCGATGTTTTGCAAAGAGCAGTAATTAAATTTGCACTTATAAATTAAATCCTCGTGTCCTGACTGCAAATAATTCATTGTTGAGTCTCCAGTTATTTCTCTTCTTATACTTTTTTATTGAATGCAGTAATGTCTCTTGAACATTGAGTGTCAAACTGTGTTAGGTGCTTTGGTCTTCACCACACTCCCGGGAGTTTTTACAGATGAGGCATCTGAAGGTCACAGAGTTATACAACTTGCTCAGAGTCACAGAACTACTAGTAAGCAACTAAAGTCAGATCCATTGGACTGTAAAACTTGGAATCTTCTTATTTTGTCCTATGTCTTTCAAATTAATAATAGGTATAAAACCACACATGGGTAATATCCAGATGGTCATGCTAAGTTCCAGTCCAGCTGCATTCAAGTATGTGACCTTGGACAAATCAGTTCATCTCACTGAGTCTTAGGTTTCTCACCTTCACAATGCCAAGAATAATAGTACCTTTTTTATAGAGTTCTTGTGAGTAAAATAATGAGATAATTCATGCAAATAGCACGATGAACACTCAACAAATTTTGGTTATTTTATTGTCATTATACCACTACCATTTCTTGTCCACTCATTGCTAGGTTCTAGCACTTACCATGCCTTAACTTTTCAATGGCTCTGCGAGGCAGGTGTTAGATCCTCGTTTGCAGAGGGAAACAGGCTCAGAGTTGTTGAGGCTCTCGCCTGAGTTGAATCCAAGTCTGCCTAGCTTCAAAGCCTCTTTGCTTTCTACCCATATGCTGGCTATGAATTCCTTTGTTGGACTTTTTGTGATATGGCAATGGTGCTGCTATCAGTGATGGTGAGATCTCTCTCCCCCTCCCACTGTGTTGCTGTAGGTGTTGCCCACTGAGTAAACAACAGAACCCAGACTGGGCCTGGGCCTTTGTGAATCCAGAAGGCTGACCACTCTCCCATGTAGCTTAAAGGAAAACAGAAGCTAGTATTTATGGGTCTGCTAATTCCACTTACAGGAAGCTTGAAATTGGGAATACTTGGAAGAGATATGCAGAGTTTGTTTTTTTTTTTTTTTTAATGTTACAGTTTTATTCCTCAGTAGCTTCCAGAATGCTTATGGCCTTCCCAATAACTTTTATTTCTAAAGGGTTCCTAACTCAATTAGTAAGTTTGGACAGAATTAATAGGGCACTTGGGGCAGAGAATAAATCCCCCTCTTTTATGTTAATTTGGAAAGTCTCTGTGAAACTTGTGAATTGTTCCAGCCACGTGGTAGAGCTCCATAAATCCACTGGTCATAAATGATAGGAACCCACACTGGCATCATTTGGCAGGGTCATTTCTACAGCGATTCTTCTTAACAGAATGAAGGAAACTTCATTTGATTTTCTTGAAATTACCTCTTTCAAACAAAATAGGCTTGGAATAACCAAGGAAATTGTGAAAAAGTCAGGTTGTCATCAGAATTCCAGCTGAGCTTTTAGCACAGAGACAAACCCTTGGCCTGGCTAGAAAGTGGCCAGACAGTAAGCAGGCTTTAAACAGCTTGCATGTGTTCAAGTTTCAGAGTTAAGTGAACAACAGTAATTTGGAGCATGATTTTCCAGACTCCTTAATGTAAGTTTGTATCATCTGCTCTGACTTGTTCACATTTACAGAGGTGCCCTTGCACTCTGGAAACATCTGTAACCACCGCATTGATAGTCTTGTGTCTGGCACATGACATTTTGTGGTGTGAGAGCAGCCTGGGCCTGGCTTACGGTGATGGCTGGAGAACTGGCCTTTGGGACTGTTGGTCTCACCTGTGGTGAAAATCTGCTAGAACTGGTTGCAGTATGGGCAAACAACTTCTCTTTTAAAGAAACCTACCAGTATGCAGAATGAATGACTCTCCTGGGTTCCATGTCTCTTCCTGCTCGGCTGTGTGTAAACATTGTTTTGGAAACAATTTTTATGCATCTGCCCAAATCTGCAGGCTTTCTTCATAACCTATTCTTTGCTTCTTCAGCATTTCATGTGGTTTTTAGGAAGGACTGTAACCTCACATTCTTGGTGATAGTTGAAATTAAAATATGTATCCATTCTCTTTGTGTCCACTGTAGTTGCCCAACAAGCTTATTTCCAGTTAGGAAAAGAGAAACAAACCTTGGAGACTAGACATAAGGGGGTGGTGGGCCATCACAAGTCTGAATTCCTTTTCAGCTAGGGATGGCTGAGAGTGTTATTCTTGAGGACAGAGGCAGAGGGGTGCTAAGAGATAGCATTATTTGTTGAAATCCTTGCTCGTACATTTGGGGCATGGCTTCTGGAGTGAAGATTGGCTGGAAAAACTGAGCTGGAATGAGTAATGACAGCTGAGTAAGTGGAGAGTGCAGATGTGAGGAGCTGCAACCCTGCATTCCAGGTCCAGCCCCTCTCCTGCTTTGCTGTGCGGCAGGTCAGGAGATCTCTCCTGTGGCGTGCTCACCCTACTTAGTATCTGTGGCTTAGAAGCCATGCAAAGTGCCTAGCATGGTGCCTGCTATGGCACAGACACTCACATACAGAAGCATGGTTTAAATGTCAGTGATAATAGTGCACCATGAGGTGGTCATCTGGGAGCAGGCTTGCAGCTCAGCATTGTTTGGGGAACACAGGAAAGGGGGAAGAAGGCCTCTTAGAGTCTGTAGTCCTTGAGCTTGACAATAACCATAGTTTCTCTTTGCTTCCTTTGCAGAACTCAGGAGACTGTACATATACATAGCACCAGTACTTATTTTTAGGGGTGCCAGCTACTCTGGAAGCTAGGACATTTCTGTTGTTTTTGCTTAAGTCCCCTTCTCTTCTTACCCTCTTGCCCCGCTTGAACTCAGCTATGTTGTGATTCAGTTTATTTTGTTGAAAATTCAGTCCCCTAGGGAAAATATGATAATGCTGTTTTTCAGACAGCTGTGTTTGGGAGCAAGATTGACTTAACCAGCTGGCTGGCATCATTGGAGCCCAAGGACCTGCCAGCCCATGGAGAGCAGCTGTTTTTGGCTGAAATTCTCATCATTCTTATGACTTTGCTTCCTATATATCAGCTTCAGAGTTTTGCTTTTAAATGCACACACAAAGGAGAGAGGGCCATTGAAAAGAGTGTAGTATATCTAATGCTACCCATAGTGGAAGGAAGTGGGGTGCCCCCACCTTCCTCTTGTTACTCATGATTGTTGAGAAAGTGGAAATCCAGGAGGAGGCTAGCTCCAGAGTGAGACATGATAATGAATAAATCAATAAATATTGATATCTTAATACAGTGTGGCTGTTACACAACCATTAAGGATCATGTTTAAGATTTTTTAAAGAAAGGAGAAATGTTGAAATATAATGTTAGATGTATAGAATACAAAACTGTGTAGATTATGTAATCTCAATTAGGGGAGGTGGGTTTTTGTTTTGTTTTGTTTTTGTTTTTGTTTTTGTTTTTTTACATTAAACAAGGTAACTCATACAAAGCTCCTAACCTGATACCTGGCATGGCAAACACTCTGTTAATCACAGGTAGTGGATGCAAACTGTCCCATCCACAGGGAACGTGTTCACCATGTGTGATATCCAGAGTCCTTGGTATGAAGTAAATGCTCAAGACATCTTTCTTGATTGAGGTAGTGTTGTCATTTATATGCATTTGAAAAGAAGTCTAGGGGCACCTGGGTGGCTCAGTCAGTTGAGCATCTGACTCTTGGTTTTAGCTCAGGTTGTGCTCTGTGGTCCTGGAATCAAGCCCCACATCAGGCTCCGTGCTCAGCAGGGAGTCTGCTTGAGATTCTCTTTCTCCCCCTCCCACTGTTTGCTCTCTCCTTTTCTCTCTCTCTCCCTTTCAAATAAATACATCTTTAAAAAAGAAATCAAGAAAATCTAGGGATACAGCTTTCTATGTTATCTGTAATTGTATCTATAATTGTGGCAGCTAACCTCTGCCTTGGTTCTTCATTGTAAGTGGTGAGGACAGTACCTCTTGCTCCACGTCACTGAGAACTGAATGAGCCACTTGTAGAACACACTAATCCCTAGGGAAGTGACCTTGTGTGGTGGCTGTGGTGATCATGGTAAGCACCATGTAAGTGTAGCTGTTATAATGATGCCACCATACTTATATCTGTAAAAAAAAGAAATATTGTCACAATTTTCATCTGTTGTAAAAAGCTTAAAAGAAAAAAGTTCATAAGAAAGCTCAAGTGCTTATAGTGGTTGTCTCTAAATGGTAGAAATAAAAAGTTGATCTCTTTTTTTTTCGATGCTTTTTTACGTTTTCCAAATTGTAGTTTGGTTACTTTTATCATCAACCTTTTTCTTCCTTTTAAGTGAGAAAATGCTCAGCATCAAAGATGACATAGAGCTGCTGAGCTGGAAAGCAGGCTCCATCCAAAGGTGACTACAGACCAGGAACTGGTGCCCTGCCCTGGGCTTCTTCTTGGAATGTTATTTAAATGCAGTTTCACATTCTAAGAAAGTTGTGAAGCAGTCATTAAGAACTGGTCAGTAGAACCAATGAGGAAAATAAAGGGTTTTGATGAACTGGTTTTGGACAAAGGTACTCAAACTACTCCAAGCCCTATTAATAGACAGTGGCTTGTATTTAGCACACTTCATTCCCCTCACCCCTGCAGAGAGCAACAGAGAGGGGATAAGTGTAAGTGACAGCAGAATGACAGAAATGGACGTGAATGGTCACCAAACTCCGAGATATGCTCCTGAAAGAAAATGTTTAGTGCCAGTTCTGAGAGATGTTTCAAACAAAGTCCTGAGCTAATGCGGGTGGTCTTTTCGGGTCTTTTTGCTGAGTCTTTGATACCACCAAGCTTTCAGTTGTACTGGTTGGGGCTTGCTCCCCGACTCACGGCAGTGTGTAGTGTAACCCTTCTGTGCAACTTCACTTGCAGATATTTAACACCGTGCCCGATATGCCTCTCACCAATGCCCAGCTGCACCTGTCCCGGAAGAAGAGCAGTGACTCCAAGCCCCCTTCTTGCAGCGAGAGGCCCCTGACGCTCTTCCACGCCATGCAATCAGCAGAGAAACGTGAGTCCCATGGCTCAGGGTGCACACCTCCAGCCTCTCTGTGTGCTACTGTCCTAAGTGTCCTTGAGGATGGTGTGTGGTTGGGCCTTGCCTGGTTTCATTGCTGAGTAAGCCTGGTAGGACAGGAAGCAGTGTTAGGAAAATGAAAGGCCAGGGCGACTTGCTGTGCAGGATTCTCTTTTCCAGATCTCCTCTGGGCAAACAGCGGAACATTGTTTCCTCCTGCAACACAGTAGGAGCTCAGCTCTGGCATCATGGCTTCCGCCCCTCTTTTGTTAGCAGCACAGAACCAGTTTCCTTTTTTCAGTTTGTCATTAAATGCTTATTAGTGCAAGTCACATGCCCTACTCGAATGTGACTTGGAGGCCAGGCCCTGCCTTTGCTGATCTTTCTACTCCACCTCTCACAGAACCTAGCATTTAGTGGACACCCAATAAATGTGTGAACTAAATGAATGAATTAATTAGAGAATAACACTCTCTTTGTTCCAAGCAGCACAGTGTTATCACCACAGTTTTACTGAATCTGTTTTTCATGTCAGAACGGAGCTCTTTGCAGTATCAGATGACTGGGTCCTAAAATATTCAGGCTTGTTTCAGCTTCTGGAATAAGAGAGCTGAGTGGTGGTAGTGTGAGAGTTGAGGGCTGAAGCTCTGCCTAGAGTCCCGTCAGACCTGGGTTCTAGCACCAGCAGCAACACATGGGCAAGCCTTTGACTGTTGCTCAGCCTCTATTTGCTCATCTGTAAAGTAGGGATAATAGTGCCTATCTCATAAGGATTTGTTAAGGAGTAAGTAAAATTTTACATTTAAGCATCTGGCACAAGTCTTAGACTTGGCAAGAGCTGAGAGCTGCTGCTATTATTACTAGTTATTATTTAATCATGCACAAATACGAAGGCTCACTCTTTCACACAACCGACACTGGCACGTTGCCTGGGAGAGACTGGGAATAGAAACAGCAGACCTTGTCTTTACCGTGCTCATAGTTGAGGGAGGGGAGTAGACAAGTGAATAGATAGCAGCAGGCCACCATGATAACCGACCTCGGAGGATAAGTCCATTCCACAGAGGCTGCGGAGCACATGGCGGTTGAGTGCGTGCCCTGGCACCAGATTGCCTGGCTGCTGGTTCCGTGTCTGCTGTCCCTGGCTGCACATGATGGGGGCAAGTTACCTGCATCTCAAGGCCTCAGGCTCCTCTTCCAGAAGGCAGGGGCAACAGCTTCTACCTCATGGGGCTGCTGTGCGGATTAGAGTACTTCACATGGCACCTAGTGCAGACTGAGTGCCCAGTGAATGCTGGGGGGTGTTGCAGTTGTTGTTAACCTCTGTGAGGTACAGTAAAGACACAGATCAGAAGAATGAATCACTTGGCCTTGAGGAGGAGAGAAAATACATATGTGGATTGACATCTTTTTATTTGTCACAAAAAACTTTTTTTTCTTTAACAAAAAACATTTTTTATCCCCTGTATTTCAGAGGTAATGGCCTTTGTTTTCATTCTGGAAACAAATCCGCTCTGCCTCCAGACCATCACTGCATTTCACGATATCATACTATCCCATAAAATGGCTAGACCTTGGTGAATTGGGCACCATTTGGGTTGTTTCAGATATTTAGTTTTTATGAGTAAAACTACTGTTATCTTTGTAGCCAGATCTGTTCGCAGGCATGATCATTTCCTTAAGCTAAATTCCTGGAAGAATTTCTAGGTCAGAGGATATGCACAGTTTCAGAGCTTTGACTTCTCTTCAAACGATAGCCTGTGTTCTTCTTAAATATGTGGCTTGGGTCATTCTCTTTGGTCTGCACATGGCTTGGGCTCCTCTGAGTGTAGCAGGGAACACTGGGAACAAAACTGGTCTCCCCATATCTGCCATGAGCACGGACGGCATTGGGCTGTGGGGTGATGTTTCTCACAGCGCCAGGAGAGCCATGGTCATCTAATGTTCACTACTAAGCAGAGGATAGTGTAGATTAGGACCCTTCAAACAGGTTGAAGCAGAAGCAACTTTGGAACAGGTTTCAAAGCATATTCTGGGAGCATGTAAGAAAGAAGATAGAGATTAGGAGCAAATCAATTAGATCTTGACCCAAGATTAATTTGATCACATGAGGTAAATGATGAAAGGTTAGGACATATGAAAACGGACAGACCTAAGCTACAGATCAAGCTGCCGGTGTCTCTGTCTGCAAACAGTTGACAGAAAGATAGAAGATGTCAAGACAGTGAAGCAGCCTGTCTTTCCTCTGAATGTTAGGAAATGCTCCCTGGAAACAGGACTGGAACCTTGGATATTTGAGGGGTGCTTAGCTTTCCTCCTTTTCTCAGAGAAGAAATATTTTCACTGAAAAGTATGTAGGAGGGCATATATACATAGACTTTTTATAGTTTGTTTTGGAAAACCCTTTTTTCCTGAGAAACTAGGATGATATCCAGGCTGGCTTGGAAAGTACCATAGGAGGGGTGGGTGACTGGCCAGGAGCTGGAAGGTTCTGCTGGCACCCCACCCCAGCTTGTAACCCAGCCACTGTGAGATGAGCAGGTTGACAGGGCACTGTCATGTTTTCACACACCTGACTCTTCCTCTGTCTCGTTTGCAAATAAAGACAGAAGGCTCCTTTATCAAAGCGCTTTGATGAGTTTACTCTGTAGAATTAAAGTACAAATAAACACTCCAAGTCATTTGTGGGTAAAAAAAAAAAAAAATTGTGTATTTCCATAAGATGATATTTTTCAGGTTAAGGGAACTTGAAATACCTAGCTCAGTTCCTTCCCAAACTCGAATCATTTGTATAAGCCTTCGTTCATTCTTTGGCCGACAACCACATAACTCATATGCTGTTGTTTAATACAGTTCTTTAAATTGATTTGTAAAGCTTCAGTGCATAACATAGTTTCTAGTTTACAGTAGACACTTGATAGCATCTTTTTTTTTAAAGAATAAATAAATGAACCCATAGACCAATGAGATGATAGCACATCTATCCATGACAATCATTTTTTAATACTATGCTATGCTTTTTAGTACTAAACACATCTATCCATGACAATCATTTTTTAAATACTGTGCTGTGGTACTTACTAAAGATGACAAAATTAAGGCCTAAAAGGATGAACTTATTTTCCAGAATCATATAACAGAGAGAAGGAGTGGATTCAGAACAAGGTTTATCTGTCTGCAAACCTACAGTCTTCCTACAACATTATGTCACCAATTCTTGACAGAATCTGAAAGAAAGCAGATTGCAGGAGGAACACAGAGAAAAAAGAATATGAAAATAATTTTGCAATGTGTTATACGTAGGAAACAAAGGAGAAGAATGTGGAATTTTGAGTTTGAGTCATTGGGAGAAGCTTGGTGCTATGAAAAGAAAGGAGAGATAATGAATTGAGTTTTGAAACTGCTGAGATTCTATGTAAGGTTTCCAAAGGTTATTTGGAAGAGTGATTCTAGATATACATCCTAAAACAGGGGATTAGAACCTAAATATAGGGCAAAAAAGCCAGCAAAGGGAATATTAAGCTGACAAAAAATTTCCTGTTCTGAGAATTTTTCTTTGTGATGCTTCTGGCTTCTCTGAATGTGCTGGCTAAAAATCACCCCACCTGGTTGGTCCTAAAGTCTAGTACCAGCCATTGTGTGGAAAACGTGCATCACTTCTGTCCTCAGTAGCCTCAATAATCTCCTTTGTCTATGATTTTCAGGATATTAATTATCCTGTTCCTGTTATCTATATGGGAAGAGAATTCCTTCTCTCTAATATCAGATCATTCTCTCTTTACATGTTCGGCTCTGATTGCTATGTACACATATGTTCATTTTATATGATTCTTCTGAGTTTTTGAAGTAAATGTCCAGTGTAACAAAGCTGGATTATTCAAGTTCAAAAAAAAATAATTTTGAAGCCAGTCACTTCTTTACATGGCCTCATCCTACTCAGTAAAATCTCTAAAAACATGAATTTGATGGTCTCACTGTATTATTCTCTAATATACATTAAAATAAATTTGTAACCATTAAGATAAAGAATGTTCTTCCCAACACCTTATGTCCCACCCATGAAATGTGTGCCACTGTTGAGAGTCCACAGAGCTTGCTCTGAATTTTGGGGCAACTCGGTTCCTTTCTCTTAAGAAACTCGAGTTTCTTCGGACTGGAACTGGGTTCAGATATTGTCATTTCGCTGTTACATCACTGTGGATCCTCACTGTGTTCCCCTGTCACTTCCATGTTGTGCACTTTGGGTTCCCGTGACACTTGTCCAGGTTTGATGTGACCTTACCTTTTTTCCGGCTCTTGCCACAGAGCAGATATCTTGTCAGATTGCACTTGTGTGGACACACGAGCACACCTCCACATACCCGTTCTCTGCCTTCACACTTGGAGGATGATATTTTTCAGAGCCTCATTTCCTCTTATTTCCATCTGTCTGATCTCTTTTGAGTTCAATTATACTTTTCTGCTCACTGACGCACTTGCAGTTGACAACTTTCTCTGTGTTCCATTGGTTAGCCCTCTTTTCGGTCCCTGTTAAAATATTTAGTGGTCCTAAAATTCCCGGCCACAGCTCACTTGGGTGTTTCTCTTTGAGAAGTTCCAGCTGTTGATTGTCAGCGCACATTATTCTCTCCTCTCTCTGAAGCACCCCCACTCTGTGCAGGAGGTGGAGCCCATTCTTTTGGCATAGACATGAATCCGTGCCAACACTCTTGGCCTCAGGCTGTCAATCGCCTCCCTCTTCTGGAGAGGAAGTTCCTGAGAGTCACTTTGGGAATTCATAGGCTCAGTCTTCTGGCTTCATACCTGCACTTCAGGCTCACGGGAACATGTGACATAATAACTGATGCTCCCGGATGTGTGTCTTGTTTTTTGGAAGTGTTTTTCTTTCTGTGTACCTAGATGAGTTGTGTCCCAGTTGTGTCCCTAGACGAGTTGTGTCCCTAGACGAGTTGTGTCCCAGTTGTGTCCCTAAGGTTCTTCAGCTTCAGCCTATG